ATTAAATTAATAATATTGTATCTCGTAAATGTAAAAAAAAATGATATTTAAAAAATAATTATAAAAAAATCATGGACTGTTATACAGTAAAGACATAACAAAAGTTAATAAATAAATACTTTTTAAATGAAAGATTTATTTAAAATTAACTATCATAGCAGTCTTAGTGGATAACGTACAATAATTTTCATTTAAATTATGACATAAAATACTCTCAAATTAATGATTTATGATTAAGAAAAAGGTAATTTTGAATAGTCAACGATTTATTATCAAAAATTGAGGATTTACAAGGTTAGTTACATATAATTGCATAAAGTTCTATTAGGCGAGCCCAGCACGCTGGCCGTTGGGTGTGTCCAGGGCGTAAGCCCCGATGACCAAGGCGTAAGTCTCACGGAACTAAGCCCATATATGCCTAGGGGCGTTTTACGAGTGCTTCGCCTTAGGGCGAGTCCCAATTCTACCTCTTAAAACAGAACTATCTAATACCTCCTCTTTGATTTCTCATCTGATTTCAACACGGACAAGGGGCAATAACCCAAGAACCATCACCATACTCACTTCTCCTCTCCAAATGATTTTTTTCACATTTCGACATAAAAAATCGCCACCAATTTTTTACGGCTTCCTTTGCTATTTTTAAGCAGTAAAGCAACCTCCACTTGCTTCTCTACCACTGGCCACGAACCACTGCCGCAACTATGTCCCGTGATATTTCCTCTTCTCTTCTTTTATCAAGAATTTTAGTTTTTTTCTCCCTCTTCTTTTTTTATTTATTATAATATAGTTTCTATTAACGATGGAATCATTGGTGGCTATGCTATTTTTGTGGTGGTGATGCGGCGGATGATGTATGAAAATAGAAAATATGGGTGTTTGAGGAGGTGTATATCTGCGTATATCACCATGTATACTTGTATGTATATTATGTTGTATATCATCATTACTTTATTAGATGTGTGATATACGTGATATACAATATTAGAGATTTGTTAGATTGTGGGCCATTTTGATATACTCAAAAATTATAATATACATTTTAATATACACTTTATTATTGTGTTATACACTATGATATACTGACAATACAATTATTTATATGTTATATGCTTTGATATATAAGAGAAACGAATATACAATAAAATATACATGCGGATAAATCCATCTTTGATGAAGATTTCTTTTCCATATATAGAGAGAGAGATGCGTGCATTGATAAGCTCTATTTTCGGGCAAAATAAATTAGGCTACCAAATATCAAATAAACTAATTAAAAATTTAGAGTTAAACTAAAGGTGCCAATATCTATAAGTATGTCTTTTTTCTGCCAATTATTTGGATGTGTTGCCACTCAGTGCTAAATATCCTTTATTGATTTCACCTTCATTTTCCGTTAGCAAACGTGATATTGTAAATTTTTGTCAAAGTTTTAGTGAAAAATTAAAGAGAAATTTTCACAAACCACTATTGTTTAGTGGTTATTAGTTAGTTGTAGCTATCATTTACTATAATATTTCTTATAGCAATGTTTTCAGATTTTTTTAGAGTATATTCGATGTATTTAAGCTACTGTATTCATGAATACAGTAGCATTTCTCGGCGTAAAATAGGAGATTACAGTTAGACAGATTATTGTATCGACTGTATTCGACTGTATTCACGGCGTGAAATAGGGCATTACAACTAGACAGATTATTGTATTCGACTGTATTCACAATATGTATTTGTGAATACAATAACGTAAATAGATGGTCTATTCAGCTATTTTTAAACGGAAAGTGAATCAATTAACACAAATAGACTCCTAATATAACTCAACAAACTCAATTATAAATCTGAATACATAAGTTATATTAATTAAAAAATATATATGAATACATTCATGGAATATAGCGAGACAGTGAATACAATGAAATACGTGGAATATAGCGAGATACATTAAAATACAATGTAAGGAAAAGACAATGAATACAATGAAATATATAGAATACAGTGAGATACATTGAAATACAATGAAAGCCGTATGTATTATATCAGCCCAATTCGAGTCCTTTTTCTTGTTTGCCACTATTACATTGCCACCGACACCAAACTGATAAGATAATTTTTTACAGTTTTCACAATTCAAGGAATTGGCATCTCTCGGACTGAAATACTAGATAGAAAAAAGAAAATTTAATTGTATTCAGAGAGTTGAATTTGGAAGAGTGCCGATGAAATTTCCTCCGCCAATCTTCGTCGCCGGCTCCGACGAGCATAAATTATAAGTAGGCCATAAAATTTGAGAATTCTTCAGCAGTGTGGACTCTCTTGCTTCTCTTTCGCTACTTGAAAGAGTAATTGCAGTTCCACTGCACCGAAGAAAAGCAAGGGAAAGAGTATCAACTGCTAATCCTAACGATTAACAGGGAGCACTATTTATGTTTCCTGGAGCTCATGAACTATGTCGTAGCGGCATTATTTTCGTTGGTGCTAATTTCCTCCTTCAAAATATCCTTTTGGGTTTTTAAACATTTTTTTTTTGGTTGAAATACTCCATTTTTCTTCTACGAAGCTGGTATCCGAAGTAGGCCATGAGATTTGATTCGTTAAAACAAGATAAATTTTCATGGAGAAAGACTGGAGTTGACAGAGAGAGCGCGGAGAAAAATCTGAAAGAATGAGAGACAAAAATCTATATCTATCTATACTATATTAAAAGCACGAAGGCCCTTAGCGAAATGTCGTTCGCCTTTTTTTACCCTTTAAAAATATATTTACATTGGGATAAAATTGTAAAATCAAAAAACTTTCCTTATGTTTAGGAGTTCTAAATAAAAAAAATTCTAATATAATTTAGTGTTTGATATCTTCTCCTAATAAGGATATAATATATTAAGACATAAAAGAATACAAAAGAAGTAGGAGGAAAGATTTTTGTTGGTTTCCAACAAGGAAACTTCACGTTTTATGTGGTATTTTCTTTTTCTCTATCCTTGTTTAATCATAAAGACCAATTTTACCTTTATTTTCCTTTTATATGATTTATTTGTTGTTTCTAAAATTTAAATCATTACTATTTTCTTAGAAGTTTGGTTGTTAAATTCGTTAAAATTTACTATGACATTAGGTTTTTAAATAATAATTATTGTTGAAAAAATAGTAATCATCAATTTGTGATAAGAAATTAATTATCATAATTTAATTTACAAAAATACCTAAATTACCTCAATGCATATTTAAAATAAATAGATGGAAAATGAACAAACACTAATATTATTACTAAGAAAGTTTGTAACATAATTTAACTTTACAAAACAAGAATTAGTTAGTAAATTCATCTTGTAGCTAATAGAATTTTTATAATATAAAACTGATTCTGTCACTAAGTAGGATTAGCGATGAATTTTATTAATTAACAACATAATTTATCTGTCGCTAATTTTTCTTCTCTTTGTAGTTAACTTGTCTTAGAATACATGGTACCTAGATGACTATTTTGATATGAAATTAATATAAAAGAACAAGATACAAAGTAACACTAAACTTTCAACATTATCTTGGTTGTTGTCATGCTTAGATAGGACACCGCTATTTTTTTTACTAAGTAGGCTCAATATTTGTCATATTCAAGAGCTTATATTTTTTTATAATTTTATACGCATCGATAGAAGGTACATGCGCATCGCGCATATCCTAGCATGAAGCCCCTTAGTGAAATATCGTTCGCCTTTTTTACCCTTTAAAAATAAATTTTATATTAGTTATAATTGTAATTTAATTATTCTACTAATGTTTAGGGCTTTAAAATCAATCAAATTTTGGTCATTATATCTTCCCTTATTCGGAATACATATACAGGAACTAGCTCCTAAATTTTACGAATTTATAAATCCTTTCCTTAAATAAATATGTAAAGTAATTATGACATTTTCTTGTGTGCATTAGACAAAATGTGTATAAACGTGTTAGAAATCTACTAATAAAATTTTAGATCTAATATTAAGTCTTCAAAAATTAAAAATTACTAATAATATGTAAACCAAACTTATCACATACTAGGTCGAGTATGAAAATATATATAAATAAGTTTAATACGACATGCTTACATTTTGAAATAATTGCAGTATTTTAATTTGAAGTAATAAGTACTATAATGCCCTTTAAGTTAATTATTTGAATAAGTTGAATACATATTGTAAATATTAAACACACATTAAATTACAAATCCAATTACAATACTCGAAAAGTAAAACATAGATAAGATAAATTTATATATTGAAATTAATGAAAATAAATTATATACATTTATTCATAAGTAATTTAATGTAGTAGTTAAAAGAGCTAAAAGAAAACAGAGAGCGAAAGGTATAAATTGATATTCCTTATTGAATTTTAGATATACAGAATCAATATTCTTTATTGAAATAAATTTACATATTTATTAATTCAAAAATAATATTTATATAATTTTTTAAAAGTTCTATACTCATTTAGATAGGTTACACGCGCAACACGCGTACCATAAGACTAGTAATACAAAGCGTATTTTATGACTTAAGGGTAGGAGGTGACCAAAAATATATATTTGGCTATAAAAATCAAAAGGTAGCTATGAAATAAAAAATTTTAAAAGGATATTTATTTAAAATAAATAAGGTATCAACCTTTGCTATAGGAGGTGAAAATTTCGGGGCTTTTGCATCTATACCCGTTTCTTGTGTCATGTTTTAACTTGTGCCCGCTTTGCAAAAAAAATTGCAAGCGTACCCGCTTTTTCGCATAACTTCAGCAAACGGGGCTGAAGTAGCAAAGGCAATCACGCAAAATTTCAGCATTTTAGTAGCCGAGCCTGAAATTCAGCTCTAGAGCTGAAGTTTTTCTTTTGTAACCGGGAAACTTCAGCTCTAGAGCTAAAGTTTTTGTCTTTGTAATTGGAAAACTTAGCCATAATTGCTGGTTTAATTATGGAAATTATACCACCTTGGGCAGTTCTTGCTATAGGTGCACTCTTGAACTTTTTTGGTTACTTCATGATATGGTTGGCTGTAACGGGACGTCATTGTGTATAAGTGAACCTTTTCTTCTATATGGTGAACTGCAGATAAGAGGAGTAGATTACAACACACCCGACGGAACGTGTATAAGAGACTACATTGATGTACCTGACTTAATTGATGCTCATGTAAAAGCATTAGAGCATGCAAAACCTAGCAAAGTTGGTGTTTACAACGTCGGGACAGGAAAAGGTAAAAGTCATTTGACCTTTTATCACTGCAATATTATACATACTCTATTTATCTGCAAGTGTTTAAATTTTTGTTATATGCTTTGTTACTACAGGTAGTTCAGTGAAACAATTCGTCGAAGCTTGTAAAAGGGCTACAGGAGTGGACATAAAGATTGAATATCTCACACGACGTCCAGGAGATTATGCTGAAGTCTATAGTGATCCGTCCAAAATCAGGCGTGAACTAAATTGGATCGCGAGATACACACTTGAAGAGAGTTTATCTATAGCATGGAGATAGCAAAAGGCACATAGAAATGGTTGCAACTAAAGTAGATATATTTAAGATTGAATATATTTTATAAAATAAAAACTTCAGTTATAAAATAAAAACTTCAGCTCTAGAGCTAAAAATTTTGTCTTTGTAATCGGGAAACTTAGCCATAATTGCTAGTTTAATTATGGAAATTATACCACATTGGGAGTTCTTGCTATAGGTGCAATCTTGAACTTTTTTGGTTACTTCATGATATGGTTGGCTGTAACGGGACGAATTTCAAAACCCCATGTTTGGCAAATGTGTTTGTATATATTCATTGGTGCAAATTCTCAGTCATTTGCAAATACTGGTGCAACTGTTACTTGTGTCAAGAATTTTCCTAGTAGTCGAGGCATCATGTTAGGACTATTAAAAGGTGCAGTTGGCCTAAGTGGCGCGATTATGACACAATTGTACCCGCTCTAGAGCTGAAGTTTTTCTTTTGTAACCGGAAAACTTCAGCTCTAGAGCTGAAGTTCGCCAGTTATAAAATAAAAACTTCAGCTCTAGAGCTGAAGTTTTTGTCTTTGTAACCGGAAAACTTCAGCTATTCTTTGTAACCTAGACGATGATGCCTGTGAAACATCTTGCGCTTTTCTCAGATTGTTTAGACAATTCTGTTCCTTCAATGCGCGTTCTTTGTTCACTTTGGTAATTTCCTTTTCAACTTCTGGCCTTAAGGATTCCAGCTTCAGCTCTCTGACCTTCTCCAGTTTGTGCACTGTACGCACTTTTCTCTCATATATATATATATATATATATATATATATATATATATATATATATATATATATATATATATATATATATATATATATATATTTGTAAAGTTCAAGTTCAGATTTAATTTCAGAAAATCATTGATTTCCACTACTATTGAAGCACAATGTATATATTGTGGGTTAAACTTTGTTTCCGAGTTGTATGGTGAAGTTTCACTTTTTTGTTGGAGCTTGTAATTTGAAGAATTTAGTGTAACTTCTCAATTTTTAGGAAAATTTGAGGCGGATTATGCATGTGAACCAAAAGCAGTAGAAAATCCATTTTACAAGTTGAGATTTAGCAAAGGAAGGATTAAGGAATGTAAGCAAGTTAAATAGTGGACTAAAACTAGTAACTGGAATAAAAAAGAAAGAAGAAGAAGAAAACGAAGGAGGAGGAGAAAGGAGCTGAAGTTGTTTAAAAAGTGGGTACAAGTTAAATGTTTTAAAAAAATAAGTATAGGTTAAATGGGGACGACCAAATAGGGCGCCCTGTGCAATTTTTACGAAAATTTCAAAATTAAACAATTCTGTTGGATTTGGGTAGCTTTGTACTTCGTCTGTTCATCAACTCAAATGGGCACAAGCAGCCCAATCTTTGTAGTTTCAATTTTGAGAAATATATATGGCTGAGCATTTTTAAAAAAATATTTAAGAAAATATTGGTCCAGCATTATAGATTTTTGCTAGGAGTGTAGTTAATTAGTTTTCATATCTGTTAATTACTTACTGAGAATTTGTAAAGTCTTTTTTAGATATTGCCTAATTATGTTTTTAGTCCAACAAAGGGCATAAGACCCAAGGATTATTTACATCGACATTTTCTGAGGTCACTCTTTAAATTTCTCCGCTTGTTTAGTGGCTAATTTTAGCTTTAAAAGTAGTTGGATGATTTTTTTTCTTTTTACAGACAATTTTCGCTCGTTAGGTTAATGGAGATAAAATTCAAATAGTAACCTCAAAAAAGGTTATTTGTGCAAATGACACGACCCAATTCTACTCTTACGGGCCTGTGAACTCAAATGCAATTTTTAGCATCAGGAAGACAACTTTAAGCCGAACAGAGTGAGCTGGCCCATTTAACAGCCCATTCGGAAATCCATGATTTAAAGCCTTTAAAACCTAGGGTTTTTCATTCAGCCCTATAAAAGCAAAGAACAAAGCACTTGCTTAGCCTTTCTACTCCCATAGCCTCCAGAAGCAGTAGCTAACCAGGTATGTCTCAGTATTTCCCTTGAAAATCTCTTAAGGTTTATGAATAATCTTTCGTCATTTTCAATCTGGTTTATGCTTGTTAGTTTCCTCAGTTTAATCTGTATGCTGCTATGTCTTACTGAATTTGTATATGCAAATGAGTTTGATATGAAAATGTGTGTTTCGGTTAATAAACCTGCGTCTTTTGCGGGTTTTGAAACCCTTTTGTAGTAGAAATGTGAACTGAGAATTTTGGATGTATTATTGTTCCTCGGTTGTGTTAGGTACGATATAGTACGATTTGCTTATGGTTGTGCCATTATAAGCTTGCAATGTAGAACACATGTGGAAATCAGGGTGTTTGTTCAATTGTAGGAGGTAATTAGAGGTGGGTTGTATTGGATTTTCTTTTTATATCGTATCAGAAAACTTGGATAGATATTTTTTTTATATTTATGTGACATATAGTTCGCATGAATCTAGCCTTCACCTTATTGGAATCTAACAATATGTTTTTTCTGTTTGGTTTGTGTGGCTTTTCCCGGTTGATTACTAGTTTATGCTATAAAAAATGAAGCTTTTACTAGCAGCAGCCAGTGTTGTGTTTTTTTCTACTGGAAATTAACTATATGTGAATGCCTAATCCCGTGAGATGTGTTATGCCAGATGAATAGTGAGGACAAAGAGCACATGTTTTGAATATTTAGATTTGCACATCTATTTATTTTTATGATTTTATCGGTTGATTAGATATTGATAGAAGTTGGATTTTCTTTGAACAATATGAAGTCAAAGTCCACAAGATTAGGAAGCGGAAAGGCAACTGAAAGTTTTATGCTTTAGTTAACAAGAGCAGCTAGCCCTGTGATGTTTGCTTGATATAGTTGATTACTGTGCAATTTTAGGTAAGAGATGAAGCACAACAATGTTATACCTAATGGGCACTTCAAGAAGCATTGGCAAAACTATGTAAGGACATGGTTCAACCAGCCAGCTAGGAAAACAAGGAGACGTGCTGGTAAACTACCATTTTGTTGAACTAATTGGCGCTATTCTTTTCTTTTTGAAATTCAATTTTGGTTGAACAGTATTAACATTTTTCTACCTGTGTTTACTCTGTTGTCTTCAGCTAGACAGCAGAAGGCTGTGAAGATCTTCCCTAGGCCAACTGCGGGATCACTTCGACCTATTGTTCATGGACAAACACTGAAATACAACATGAAAGTCCGGGCTGGGAGGGGATTTTCTCTTGAAGAACTGAAAGTGAGGTTCTAGTTACTTGTTGAATGTCGTTTACTAGATAACTTGCCAGCTGTCCTGTTCACCACCCCATATCCCCATAGAGAAAAACAATTAACAAAAAGCCATCTCATTGGGTACAAAAGAAAATTCTATTTTTAGTCATGTTTTTGGCTCTTTGGATACTTTTATTTTACACGCCTATTATTTTGAAGCACTTGTACGTTTGACTTCCCCATTATTAAGTAGCTTTGGGTTTTCAGGCAGCTGGTATTCCCAAGAAACTAGCACCAACCATTGGCATTGCTGTTGATCATCGCCGCAGGAACAGATCATTGGAAGGTCTCCAAACCAATGTCCAGAGGCTGAAGACTTACAAAGCTAAGCTTGTCATCTTCCCAAGGCGTGCTAAGAAAGTCAAGGTAAATTTGAAAATGGTTATTCTTTCCCTGCTAGATGAGGATTCCTGCTTTGGTATCGGAACAGTTGCGAAAATTTACCTTGAACTCTCTTTTCCAGGCTGGTGATTCTAGTGCAGAGGAACTTGCCACTGCCACCCAGGTCCAGGGTTCATACATGCCTATTACTAGGGAGCAACCAGCTGTTGACCTTGTAAAGGTTACAGATGAGATGAAATCATTCAATGCCTATGGCAAGCTGCGTATCGAGCGTACAAATGCGCGACACATCGGAGCCAGGTTGAAGAGGGCAGCTGAAGCAGAAAAGGAAGAAAAGAAATAAGCAATTAGAATTGTCGTGTAGCTTGTTAAGCATTATGAGTTTTCTGGTGGACTGAGTGATGAAGTTTATGATACAATCATATTCAGGATCTTGAGCTTTTCTCTTTATTCAAGAATTTTGTTTTGCTTGTGAGATCATGCAAATCTTTTGATGGTGTTTATGTTATAGCATAAGTCCTATTTCTCTCCTGCGTCTGCTATTTCATAGCAGCTAGCTTAGTGCAAGTGTCAGTTTTCCAAATTGTGATGGCTACTTCAAATTGATTAGGTCTATCTTGCCCCATCTCGAGCTGATTTGTTAACCTGAGGGTCAAACTATTATCTGGTGCTACAGCGATGGCATGAGCTAGCACTGTACCAGTTTAAATTAATCTGTTGGTGATGATCAGTTGCCAATGAAGTTATCAACCTTTTTAAGAATTATATTTCATTTGTTTCGAATATCAAAGAGGGATTTTTGAATAATCAATGGAAATACAGGCTCACAGCTCATAGAGGCGGGGGCGGGATAAAAGAGCTGGGAAAGCAAGGGAAGTGCAAGTTGTGGTTGTGGTGACCCTTGCTTTCTTGAGGTATAATAAGTGGTATGAAGTTGTTTTAACGTGTTTCTGAGGTTGTGTTTGACCTGAAGGATAAGGGCAAGACAAGAGTACTTGAATGGGCGGAGTTGTTGATGTATGTAATGCGTACATACGTTTTCAATTGAGGTTTCTATTAGAACAAGCATTCGATTGTCACGGCAATGTTTCCAAACATGTTTTCTATGTAAAATGCCTAATTAAAGAATCTTGATGCATATTTTTTATAGCACGTAGTTTTATGCAACTTTAGAAGCTAGCTACAACACAGTTTAACACTTCGACTTTCTAACAATTACCGAGAATTGATGAATTGACATTTGCATATTTCTAGAATATGCTCTACTTTTAGGCCATCATCATCGGTTAGTAAACTGATATTATGTTAATTTGGTATATTAATATTCTTACATGAATTTTCTTTTAGAGCCTGTTTGGAAAGCCACCTTGGAAATGGATTTGGGTGTAAT